CTGATTTTCGGAAATAAAGCCGTGTGTAACCAGCAACTGCTTTCCTCCATCTTTCCAGGGGAACTCGGCTTTCCCGCTCGGCTCGGTCGCAGCCTGACCCGCGCAGCGGCCGAGCGGCCGCTCTCGCAGCCGGTCGCGCCTCCGGGAGGGCAGGAGAGCCTCGGAGCACAGGTAATCAATAGCACCATCTGTCCCCCGCGCGCGTGCTCCCGCTCTCCCGGGAAAGTGGGCCTCCTTTTCAGAAATAGCGTGAGCTAAAGTATCTCTCAGTTCGCTGGACTTGAAGGTGGAGATATTTAACCAAACCACAAGCTGGCAAACACAACCTCTCTGTTAGGAGAGTTGCACTGAAGTACTGTTGATGGTCCCGTGTGTTAGCAAATATTAGCACTGAGTATCCAGTAACGTGTCTCGTTACGTCTTATGGGTTGTGAGTGGCTGCAGGTCTGAGGGTGCTGTGTGGAGGGGGTACAATGGTCATCACTTAGACTGGCCGCACTTGAGAGCGCTGCAGTCTTGGCTTCATAAATACACACAGGAGCGCCACAGAGGTGAGAGATCCTGTGTTTGACTAACACCGTGCTGACCTCTGACGTTGTTATAAATCATATTTTTATCTTAAATGGATACTGTAAAATATGTTAGGCTCAAATTTTCATTTGCATTAATGATATTTTGGAGGTTAAAGCAAATCAAATCCTGACTTAATAATTGATTTTTTTTTTCCAAAGGGAAATCGGAACAATTCCAAACTCTGTAAAGAGTTGATGAAAAACAATCTAGTCCCTCCTCTGCCCTCTGAAGGAGGGATGCAAAGCTGCCTTAGGTTGGGGCTCTATAAGGAAGTGGAAATATTTGTCAGCCTGAATCCCTCTATGAATATGCTGGTAGAGGCAGAAGAAATTTGCAGTCAGTCTTTTAAGGTATGCAGTAAGGATGTTGTTCCTTGGTGAACCCTGCACAGACACAAAGCTGACATAGCACTTGTTTTCAGGGCTTTTGCAGAAGAGCTGAGAAACTGCTCAAGTTTTTGTCGCTGGAGATGCCATATTATTTTTGTCACCATCACCTGGTAAACAGTCTGACATACAGGAACCTTTCAAAAAGCAGTAGTGTTTCAGCACTGACCTTCCTAGCCATGTTCCAGAAACATGGTCTTGAGAGCTTTGCAATGTGAAGGCTTTTAAAGGGTCTGAATAACTCCTTAGAGGACTTAGCACTGAGCGTCCCTGGAGCGGGGAATACCACAGGGACACTTCCATGCCAGCCCAGCCTCCCCTTCGGGCATCCCTTGCTTCTCCCGGTGCCCTGCTCCTGTGTTCAGAGCTGTCCCCATGTGGCACCGCTGGCCTCCGGCGCTGCCGCAGCAGCAGCCTTGGCAGTGCCCAAGGCACCGGCCCACAGCGAAGATGGCGTTAGTGAAAACCACCGCAGCCACCGGGCAGCAGGACGCGTCTCGGGCGCGGGGAAATGGCTTTGCTCTATCGTGGGCAGATAGAGATTCAGAAATCTCTTAAGTGTCCAAGGGCAGTCAGTCCTTGGAGCCCATGAGGCACGGCAAAGGCCTTAGCATTGTAGCTACCCCTGCTGTAACTATCCTGTGTGGTTTTGCGTGAGTGTGGATGTTTCACGTGCGGAGGAGTGTGCTTTTTACCACGCTGGAAGAAGCAGTTTTGCCCAGAGAGCTGCTGCTTGTAACCCCTGTTCAGCAAAGAGTTTAAGCAGGTGCCCAAATGTGTTGGTGGGTCACAGTGGAGTGTCGAAGCGGGGCAGTTAGTCCAGAATGGACTTCCTTGTCTCCACCAAAAGCTGAAACACTGCAGCCTGCTGGCGTTACTGGCGCTTTGCACCGGGTGTGCGCTGCATATGTGTCCCTCAGGCTGCAGAAGATGAGGGAGTTGCTGAATGGGCAAGGAAGAGATGCAGGGCGAAAACAGCAACACGTTTTCAGAGGAACAGTGTGCGCAGTTCTTGCTCCCGCAGTGGCTGGTTGTTGGTATCAGCAGTACCTGTTGCTCCGGTGGAGGCAGCATCCCACCACCCAGCCCTGCCTGGCGGAACCAGGACAGGCTCCCTGTTACTCCTTGGCAGCTTCTGCCACGCTACAGTAGGAGCAGACCCGAAATGCAGTGACCGAGCGCCCTCTTCCTCCTGCAGTTAAGAGCTCAGAAACCTCCCTCCTTCAGCCGCCCTGGAGCTCCCTCGCTGCCCTCACTGGGCTGCTCCCCGGCCTCGCCGTGTGTGAGGCTTGTGGAAAGAGAAAAGCAGAAGGGAAGCCGGGTTTGGGTAGCGTGACATGACTCGCACAGTTTTTGACTTAACTTTTAACAAGATCCCTCCTATGTCTTTAATGACCTGAATGTAAAATTTATGGCGTGGAGCGCCCCAGCATCGGAGGGAGCCTCCAGCACACAGGCTGCCTTTTGCGGGATAGGCAGGGAAGTGAAGTCCACCGGGACTCGGGAAGCCTGAATGATGCAGTTATGGTTGGCACTTTGAATATAGGTGTAGCCAACTTCAAAATAAATATTTGCGCTTTAGCTGGAGCGTGCATGTGGGAGGGTGAGAATAGCAGCTATTAGTGTTTCTCAAAATGAATAATTATGAAAATGGTATGCTGGCATAATGGTATTATTGCAAAGAATAAGCAGAGCTCAGCCTAATACATGTGGGGCAGGAGTGTCCCCTGCCCCCTGGCTCCGCGCAGCGCCTGAGGGAAGCCAGGCTGGGGGCAGCTCGGGAAGAGGCAGGAGCGCCCTCCGCGTGGGAAGCACAAGGAAAGCAGCTCTCAGTGGCGTTTTAGCTGCGTGGGAGCCCCGTGGGGACCAGCTCGTAGCCCTGAGCTGGCCATCGCTGAGGTCCCCAGTGGCCGCTTTAACAGTGTCCAATCAACCTCCCGGGAGACACTGGGATACGCTGGTTCCCTGGCCCTGGATTCCTGCACGCTCATTTCAGAAGTGTCTTTCAGCCTCCCCACACCGCGAGGAGCGCAGGCAGAGCAGCTCGTGCAAGGCTTGCCGTTCTGGGCTCTGGCTTTGGTGCGCGCAACGTTTTCTACTCCTGAGACTCGTCCATCTGCCGGTGCTCCCCGTGGAGCAGACTGGAAAGGCAGAGTAAGAGCAGCCCCTACGGGGAGCTGCGCAGCGCCCCAGTCTCGTTCCCGTCAGCCGCCGACTCCGCCGTGTCCCTCCGAGCAGGTCCCCGCAGCAGGGAAGGGGCCGGCGCCGCAGTGCTGGGACGCGGCCCCCAGAGGCCGGGC